TTTTTTTTGAGCGACTTGCTGCTTGAAAATCATGGCACATAGTTATCTCACCTCACTTGTGTTCCCCTTCGCCCCGCCTTTGGTGGTTGTATGGCCCCGCTTAGTGTGCTATTTGCAGCCATGGCCCCGCTCACCCCGTTTGTGTTTTACAAAGTTGTTAGCTAGCAGGCAGCTCACGAATGAGAAGATCCGAAGGGCTTTGGTGTTGTTCATTTCGCCTTGGCACTTGCAATTTTCGAGTGTTGTGCCCTGGACTGCTTCCAAACGGTTTCCGTCAAGCAGTGCTTTGGTGTGTTGTACTGCCGCTGGTGTGTTGTACTGCAGCTGTTGGGATCGCACTGTTGGGAGCGCTGTGTGATGAACGGCCACCAAAACAAGGCCATAAATCCTTGCAAAAAGAAGTGTCATGTGGAGGGCCCTCGTATGTATGGAAGACTGTTTCGTGGGGGTTGAGCAAGTTCGCACTTGGTAAACTATCACAGCCGGAGGCATCCGAAGGTTCATCCGCAGTGACTGCACACAGGCCAAAGCCAGGTGAATGAAACCTTGTGAAATAAGGTTTTTCTTTGCCGGCCAATGACGCGTACGTGGTGAGACATCATATAGAGGTTGCGTAGTTATCAAACAAAAACAACATGCAGTGTGGGGCCCCTTCTTTTCCAAGGCTGCTGTGACAAAGGCCTCGAAGCTGGTGAGCTGACACAGGCCCAGCCCAACTTGTGCAGGCGGCAATATTTCAAGTCACTTGAAATCCTCGAGCCCAGGAATCTTTTGGAGTGTATGGTGGCACACAACTGCAAGCCATCTGAAAGCTTTTGCATAGACCGCGTTCTGATTATCGAAGCAAGATAAAGACCATATCCAGCAACCAGCGGTTCAATGGACAGCTTCATACCTCCCCATGCTCGCGCGAGCACATACAAAATTCTTTTTCTTTCCACCAGTGGGATCTTTTGAATTCTTACATGTCATCAGTTCTCATCAGTTCTTGTATCATAGGACGTGCTTTCTTTTGGATGTCCGCGGTTTGTGTGTCCCATTCGTTTAACGCCTCGTCCTTTTGTTCCGATGCTTCGTGGGGCCCGCGTTCTCCGATGCTGTGGGGGCGATCGCACGTGCTCGTGCTCATCAACACCGATCTTGCCCACAGGATCCTCAAGGGTGGCAACGAAAAGTTCCTTTCAGCACGCCCAGCCCCCGCGATCAGCCCACCATGGCTTGGAGCAGCGCTGCGGGAGGTCTCTATATGCTGGGAGGGATTAACAGCAGTGGCATGGCTGCAAAGTCTAAGTCCGATTCAGTCTGAGCAGGGTG